GGCTGGGACGTCCGAGTGCGGCGGGCCCGGCCGTCGGGGCACAGCCTGCCGAGGGTCTCGGGGCGCTTGGGTTTGCCAGCCCTGCAGACGGCGGTCCGGACTCATGAGGGGCTGCACAGAGCGGAGGGCAGGTGTGCTCGCCCCTTTCCCCGAGTGTGGGGAGCGGGGGAGTGTCCCCGGGGAGCGGCGGCTCTCCGAGGCCGCTTTGTGCCTTTAAGCGCGGGAGGGGGGGCGGTCGCCGGGCGCGGGGACTCACGCGCACCCGCCTGCTCGCGCCCGCCCGGCAGGTGTTCCGAGTGGAGGTGCGGTTCCGCGGGCGCAGACACACGGTGCCGAGGCGCTACAGCGAGTTCCACGCGCTGCACAAGCGGGTGAGGGGGCGCCGCCGACCTGCCGACCCCTGGGAGGCGGGCATACGAGCTGCGGCCCCCGCCTCTGCCACCCTCGTTACCACCCCGTCCTCTCTCGCCCCTGTCCCAACCACACTCACCCGGTGGGGAGAGGGGGAGGTAGGGGAGGGCTCTTGCTAGGGTGAAGTGAGCTTTGGGCTCAGTCGGGAGGGACACTGTGATCGCACTGCGGTAACCTCCTGGCAGATCAAGAAACTGTACAAAGTGCCCGAATTCCCCTCGAAACGCCTGCCCAACTGGAGGACCAGAGGATTGGAGCAGCGGCGGCAGGGCTTGGAGGCCTATATCCAGGTGGGCATGGGTCTCACTCTGTTGCCCCCCAGCCTGCTGGACTAGAGGTGTGACCCAGAGAGGTGTGGGGGCCCGGGATGAGGAGGGACGCACATCTTGGGCATGACTTTTCCTACCCAAGTCTCAGTTTTCTGAATAGTAATTTCAGAATTGAATTCATTTGAATTTGAACTTTCATTCCTGGTTACAGAGGAAGCAGGTGGTCCCAATTCCATGAAAGCTGGTTCTTTTCCCCTCTGGGGTGAGATCCTGTACTGCCTTCATGAGGATGTAGGGCAGGGACTCTCCCTCCTCCCCACAGGGATGCCAGATCACAGGCCAGGGAGCTTCGTGGGCATATACCTGTGTAGTCACCCACGGCCCAGTGTTCAGAAAGGCCCTGAGCTTGCTTTAACTCTGGCTGTCTTGAAATTCGTAATCATCTTGGCTGGGCACCTGTGTGTTCATTTTGCACGGGGCTGGGTCACATAGCTGTGACTGATATAGGTTTCCTGTCCTCCTCTCCAGGGTGTCTTGTACCTGAACCAGGATGTGCCCAAGGAGCTACTGGAATTCCTGAGTCTTCGGCACTTCCCCACAGATCCCAGGGCCAGCAGCTGGGGGTGAGCATCTCTAGGGACCATGGCTTGGCATGAAGGGCCCCAGTACTGGGGAAAAGGGGCTCTCTGCAGCAAGCAGGTGAAGGTTTTAGAGGCCGAACCCTTTTCCTTCTCACATCTGCCAGGCTTGAGCCTGGTTCTTTCACCTTGAAACATGACCACCCTCATCAGCTTTCTTGCCCCTGGTGGAGGGGCTGTTTTCTATATAGCCTTGGTTACTTCAGCCACCTCCGGAACTGAGCTTGTTACAAATAGAAGCAATGGCCCCCTGGGAGGTGAAGTTCATCTTCCGTTTCTCCACCCCTTCCTCAAGCTCCCTTGGGCATCCCCAGGCAGTTCACACTCTCTTCTTCTTTTCAGAGCTCTGGGGGAGTTCCTGCCTAGGGACAGCAGGCAAGTTAAAGCCCATTCCTGCCCGCACTGCCCCCTGGTGGCCATAGGCCAAGAGGCTAGTCTGCTGCCTCTGGCTTGTCTTGCCTACTGGCCCAGGGTTTCCTGTTGGTGCTTCTCGAGACCACTGCCCACTCACCTTTTCCTTGTGGGTCCTTGGTGATCTCAATTCCTAGTCTCTATCCAATAGGAGACTTTGCCCCACCTCACCCTCCACTGCTCAAGACCCTTTTGCTTCCTAGCTCGCAGCTGCACCACCGGCCTGTTGTCAGCTTCTGCATGGATCCCTACATTTGCATCTCACCTCCAGGTGAGGGGCTGGCTCTGATCTACAACCCATATTTAGGGCCCAGGCAGCAGGGTGAGGGTGGGGGTGAACTTGACATTTCTCAGCTCCCAAGACCCCTAGGCAGCATCTCCCTCCTACTGCCCTCCTTCAGGACCATATGAGCCTGGCTTTACCAAGCTAATGTGAACAGGGGAAGCCCAGGCCTGATTTCAGGTGACCAACTGTTACCTGCTGCCTTGGCAGGGGCTTAGGGAGCTGCACAACTGAGGCTAGGGCCGTCCCACACCCCTCTTCCCCTTCCTATTTTCGTCTGTCCCAGAACCTCTGCCCAATGTGGTGGTAAATGGCGTGCTCCAGGGTTTCTACGGCTTCAGCACCAGCACAGCTGACACCCAGTCAGAGGCTCCCTATCACCCTGCACCTTTGCCACCGATGCCTTGACCAGCTCAGGGGCCTTTGGACCACCTGCCAAGACAGTCATATGCCTCAGTCCTGTGAGCCCCATAAAAGACATGGGCTGGGTCCCCCTTGGCTTGGATCCAGGACTTACCCATACCAGGCTCTGAACTTCACTGCCTGAGGTTCCTAGAATTTCTGCACTCCAGGGCATGGACAACAGAGGATACAGATAAAGGGAGGAGTCAATTTAGGAGGTAGGCTATGAAAAGATACAGGTGTATTTCTTCACCTACACCGAGAGGGGCAAGCAAAGGTTGAGGCATAGTAGCTGGCAAAGTTTAGAAGCAGAAGTTCACCAGTGTGTGGGGTAGCATCTGGGGAAAAGGTTCAGGCTGGAGCCCAAGAAAGGGACAAGCACCCCTTGCCACAGGAGTCCCAGACAGGCTGGGATGTAGACTTGGGCAGGGGTGCTATAGAACCTAGCCCACACACAGGTTATAAAAAAAACCCACCTTTTTTTTTTAATTGGTCAGCGTTGGTAGAAGTTTGTTACAAAATTGGGCCTGTGGAATGTGAGGGGAGGGGTCCACTCTGTCAGATGGCAGCACTAGGGCCAGTGTGGCACAGAGCCCTGTGGTGGGCTGTCTTCACCACCCTTGGAGAGGGCAACAGGGCCAAACACAGTCGCTCAAGAGGAAGAGGTCCCTGGAGCCCTACTCCTTGGCAATGGCAAAGGGCTTTTCCACCTCGATCTTGCCACAGTCTGCAATAATCACATCCTTCAGGGGCTTGTCCCGACCATCCGTCTTGGTACTCTCCACCTTCCGTACTACCTCCTGGAGAGGAAAGGCAGAAGCAAGAAAGCAGGGTGGGTCAGGAGGTTCGCCACTCAAGGGAGACAGGCCCCAGTGTACGACTGGGAAGGAATGAGACTCTCCTGTGACCAACAGCCTACAAAACTGGAGGCACCAATATCCTAACAGAATCATGGCCAGGTGCCAACCCAGGGCAAGGAGAACTCAGCTCTGACAAGAGGATGCAACAATTTGATCTCTAAAGTATGGCTCAGGTTAGGCAAAGGGTGAGGAAGAAGAAGAGGGAGGGTGGGTGTGTCACGTCCCTGGTGAGGGTTGCCCAGATTTAGTCTCCCATCTCTGAAACTCACCATGCCCTCTAGAACCTTGCCGAACACTACGTGCTTGCCGTCCAGCCAGGCTGTCTTGACCGTTGTAATAAAGAATTGGGAGCCATTGGTGTCTTTGCCGGCATTGGCCATGCTCACCCAGCCAGGCCCGTAGTGTTTCAGCTTGAAGTTCTCATCGGGAAAGCGTTCGCCGTAGATGCTCTTACCTGGGAAGAAAGAAGGAGTAGGTCAGGGGAGCTAGGTTGGCCAGGTTTAAATGGAGTATAGGGGTATAAGAGCTGTCCCCTCCTACCCTGTGGCGCCAAACCATGCTGACAGATTGTTGATTTAGAGAATAGCTCACGTGATGGATTACTCTGAGAATGTAGTTTATGGCTTTTAAATGAGGCACATATTAACAACTAGCCTTGGCTATGGCCTGAGGCCTGCATGGAGGAATTTTGGTGGAGAGGTGCTGTGCAGGATGCAGGGGCAGAGGGGGAGGTATGAACCCTCCAGAAAAGGAGGAATGTTGTGGCTGACCAGCTTTTCTTCCTGAAAGCACAAAAGACTGCCATTTGGGTTCTGGAAAGTCAAGAGCTTCTTATCAATGAGTGAACAGAAAATAAAAGGTGGCAATGTATGTGTGTAGTGTCCCTCCATAAGGGTCAGGGGAATATGACAAAGGGAGCCCAGAGCAGACACAGTTTCAGAGATCCTAAGTGCTATCTCCTTTTTCCATTTCCCAGAGATTCACACTATGAGCTAGTTGAACTACAGGCCCCGAGAAACCCAGCAATAAAGTAATTTTCATTTTGTTTTACCCAACACCTTTCAAAACCCTTTTTCCCTCTTCAATACACCTGTAGCAAGTGGAAAAAGACTGAAAACCAAGAATTTCTAGACTCTGGTGGGTGGGGGGCAGGGGTGTCCCAGCCTGTGCCTGCCTCTCAGTCCCACATCCAGAAGAACTGGTCTCCCCCACTGCTGTGCAACTACTCCTGGCCGGGGTGCCAGCTAAAAGCCTCCCTTACAAAGAGAGAATCCTCTTTGTAAGCCTCAACCAACTGCAGCATTAAATCCTGCAGACAATCCCCAAATCTACATCCTTCACTACAATCACTTTCCAAAAATACAAGGAGTTCCAAACATAAAGGGATAGTTCTTCATGTTAAACTCAACATATTTCATAGTCTCTCCCTCCGGACATCAGTAAATTTATCTGCCAACTTTTCTTCACACTGCTGCCCCCACCCCATCATTTGTTCATTCTTTCTTACCATTCCTGCTGCCCACAGGGCAATAATGGCTACTGCTCAGTGGTAATAGTGCACGCATGCCAGAGAACAATTGCAAGCATTTTATACATAAAACCCACCTGATGAGACAAGGTCTAATAACCCTATTTCAAAGATGAAGAAACTGAGGTCAGAGAGGCTAAAGGTACCCAAGCTAAGGAAGTAGCAGAACTGCAACGCAAACCAAGGGGGTCTGGCTCTCGAATCTCTGCCCATGCCCACTAGGCCATCCTTTCCTGGGGCTTCAGCCCACATCACCCTACCCAGGGACAACACCAATTCCCTCATCAGTCTGCCTGTCCCTGCTCCCGCAGCCTGAATCCTGCCACCATGTTATTCTCCCTCAGACTCCTTTGTGACTGTCTTCCCCCCACTCAGGTTTTCGGCAGATCCTCGCCCCATGTAGGACAAAGCAGTGTGCTCTACTTCCATTTCCCTGACACCACCTTTGGCAAAGTACCTGTGGCAGAACACAGCTGGGCTCAGAGCTTAATCATGCCTCTTTGCCGGTTCATATTCTCCCTAGCCAGGACCCTGCTCAAACCTTCCCTCACATCCACAAGGCCGTTTCCTGATCACCTTGGCCCAAGAGGATTCCTCTGCTTGTCAGCACTTTGGCAGTGGCCAACTTTACTTACCATGTACTGGGAACTTACACTCAAGATCTCACCCAACCCTCACAGCATCCATAACTCTTACTACACTTGCTTTACACAAGAGAAAACTGAAGCTCAGATGACTCACTTGTCACAAAGCAAGAGGTGGTAGACACCAGGCACCGGGTCATGCCCAACTGTGACTCCATGAACACAGACGGCACTTTGGATTATGTCTGCTTGGCCGCCGCCTCCACTGCTGCCTGCTGCCTGCTGCTACTAACATCTTATGTACCTTGCCCAGTGTCTTCTCCTAGTTCTTCCCACGGAGATGGGAACTTGAGGACAGAGCCTGAGTCCTAAAGACTACTATGGCCAATTTGTGAGTTTTCAGGTACTGGAGTGAAAGGGAATTGCTGCCGCACTGATTTTTGTGTCCTCAGCACCCACCACAGCCTGGCCAGAGACACTCATTGATGGGGTGAGCTGCAGATGCGGTCTGAGGGAACAGCAGGCTATGCACCCAAGTATGGTGAGACCTGTGGGTTAGTCAAGGGTTCTGCTTGTCTGTCCTGTTCACAGGTAATGCAGAGGGGAGACTCAGTCAGCTCTTCCCAAGTAGTCTCTGCTGGGAGACTGCCCAGAAAAGCAAATTCTATCCTCACTGGGGCTTCTGAGGTGGTCCACACAGGCTTTGCATGTCTGACCTAGAATCATCTACCCATGTGTTTCACTTTGCTCCCCTCCCGCCACGAGGTATTGGGAGAAGTCACCAAGGCTGTAGGCCTGGACAGGCAAGTCTGCCAGCTGGGTGAGATCCTCTTACATCCACCTGACCCCCATTACTCCCTCTTCTTTGTACTCGGTTCTCTGTACTACGAAGGTGCAGATGGCCTCAATGCAGGTGACAGGCCTGCTTCTGGAGCTGCGTAAGGAAGAGGCCTTGTCTACTCAACACAGTCCAGCCCTCCCACCTGGGAGGCTGCACTGACAGCCCTCTGCCCAGAGGACCAGGTTACCTCCAGTGCCATCTCCTCGAGTGAAGTCTCCTCCCTGGATCATGAAGTCCTTGATCACACGATGGAATTTGCTGTCTTTGTAGCCAAATCCTTTCTAGAAAAAGGGAAAAGAAGGTGAGGAGGTGATATGAGGCACCAGGCAGGAACCCAGTCCACAATGGCTCGTGCTCACAGAAGAGACATCACTGCAGGCCAGTCATCGTTCAACATGCTACTGAGCTAGCAGGCCACACTCGGAGCACACAGAGCCAGGAGGCTAGATTACACATTCTTCTGCTTTTATACCATTCCCAGACTTTATAACTCTTTCACCTAATGCCTCTGCCTTTTCCCTTTTCCTTCTCATTTTTTCCTAATCATAAGAACAGATGCAAGAAAACTGACCACCACCCCTCCCCCCCCGCCAAAAAAAAGGTTACCTGCTGACCCAATGAAAAGTTGGAATATAAACTTTCTTAAATGAGGCACTCTTGTTTTCTTAAAACCTGGGAAACTCTGGGCCCCTTACTCTTAAGAGAAAGCTCTAGTGCAGAGGCCACAGACTACAGTTTCCACAGACGTGCTTTCTTTGATTACTGCAATGTCTTAAAGATAAATCTAGATGTCTGGACTCAGTCTAAAAAACTCAAGACATGATAATACTGGGTTTACCTTGCCAAGTTAGTTGGTACTCAGGGCTACTGCTATAGATGGGCCATGATCTACACATTCAGTTTGCTGCCAGCCCTACTTGCCAACTTTACGTGGTTTGAATTTGACTCCCTCCACTCTAGGCACTTACCTCTCCGGTAGCTAAGGCCACAAAATTATCCACTGTTTTTGGAACAGTCTTTCCAAAAAGCCCTATGACCACCCGGCCTATATCTTCATCTCCAATTCGCAGATCAAAGTACACCTGAGGAAAAAGAGCATTCTACTGATTGACTGATTTATAAATCCTCATTCGAGGATACTTTTTCCATTGCTTTTCAGAGAGTGGGAGAGACAGAGAGACACACATCGACTGGTTGCCAGGATTGAGCCTGCAACCGAGGAGGTTCGTGCCCTTGGCTGGAATCCACCGGGACCCTTCAGTCCCCAGTCCGGCGTTCTAACTACTGGGCCAAATCAGCCAGGGCGAAAAAGAGCATTTTAAACTTAGCCTGTTTAAAGAGGTCTTGCTCGGGAAAGAAGGGCCCAAGCTACCCTGAGGATGGCAGAGAAAATAGCCTTATTTTAAAGCAGTGTTTCTGAATATGATTTTGGTGGTGACAAAAGCCTTATGAGAATCTAATGAAAATTTGAGGCCCATTTCCCAGAAAACATGTTTATACTCTCCTTAGACCGCAGGGTAACAATCTTCCCAGGCTCTAGAAAGTAACATAAAAACACACAAAAAACACCACCCGAGTTTAACTATATCGCGGTGCTTTGTAATTGGAAGTGGCTAAAAGATGACCTAAGGAGAGAACGGATTCACGATTTGGCAGACGTGATCTTGCACCGTTTAGCCAGCCCTGCGAGGTATTTGCAAACCGACTTCTCTGAGGCTGACGGTCCCGGCCCCGCAGCGCGTCCCGGGAGCCAACTCCTGGGTCAGGGCAGGAGTTTCGGGGACGGTCCGGGTCATTCTCTGGTCTGCATGGGGGAGGACCGTCCAGGCGTCGCGAGGCCACAGCCCGGAGACTAGGGAGGGGCTGAGCCAAAGCCCAGGGCGCCCAGGCCCGAGCCCCGGGACCCCCAAGGCCTCGGTCACCAGCGACCAGCGGCGCCGAGGCGAACCCCAGGCGGCGGAGGACGGGCCTCGCCCCGCAGGTCTGGAGAAGGGAGGCCGGACCTTGACGGTGACTTTGGGCCCCTTCTTCTTCTCATCGGCCGTGGACGGTCCCGGCAACAGCAGGAAGAAGACGGAGCCCACGACCAGGGCGGCGGCGAAGAGAAGCTTCATGTTCCGCTCCGACAGGCGTAGCATC